CTTCCCGTAACCCTTGATCCCCTTGACAATCAAGAACTTATCTACCTCCGTCTTAAATATAGAAAATGACCCCTAATTTAAGGAACTTGACCTGTCAGTCACCCCAATCATATGTCCTGCGGTTCCACCGAAAGTTTGAATTCTCTCTTAAAACCGTGCGCCAGCCACACATTAACTTTTGAGAGTGCGTGAGATCTTTGATCTCAGGAACACAGCCTCACCGTCTCCGTTCTCTTCATCACTGGCAAACTCATTTCTCAGCTGTAGACATGCCTCAGCAGTTTCTTCATGAGGGAAAGATCATTCTTTATTTCCTGTCCTTGGAGTCTGTAATTACATGTATGTGCAGTCTGTCAGGAATTTTCCATACTATGGGCTATTGTTCTTTAACCCTTTATATCTTTACTGCCCCTTTTAACGGTAATACTGTTTTAAAAATTACTTTGTTTTATCCTTCATTGTCATCTATCATAACGTTCCAGTGAAACTGAAGAGGTCTACCCCCAGCTTCATCCATGGGCTGTCTGAGATGTCATCAGACTGCAAGACCATAAGACATAGGAGCAGAAATTAGGCCATTCAGCCCATTGAGTCTGCTCTGCCATTCAATCATGGCTGATAAGTTTCTCAACACCATTCTTCCGCTTTCTTCCCGTAACCCCTGATCCCCTTGACAATCAAGAACCTATCCATCTCCGTCTTAAATACAGAAAATGACCTGGCCTCCACAGCCTTCTGTGGCAGTGAATTTAAAGTGAATCATAAGCAGCTCTTTTGAATGTTTGGCTGATGACTTCAGTACATAAAGTCATAGAGATGTACAGCACGGAAACAGACTCTTTAGTCCAACTCGTCCATGCCAGCCAGATATCCTAAATAGATCTCGTTCCATTTGCTAGCATTTGGCCCATATCCCTCTATACCCTTCCTATTCATAACCCATCCTGATGCCTTTTTAATGCTGTAATTGTACCCACCTCCACCACTTACTTTGCCAGTTCATTCCATACTTGCACCAACCTCTGCGTGAAAAAGTTGCCCCTTAGGCCCTTTTTAAATCTTTTCTCTCTCACCTTAAGCCTATGCCCTCTAGCTTTGGACACCCACAATCTGGGGAAAAGACCTTGGCTATTTACCATGCCTCTCATAATCGTATAAACTTCTGTAGGGTCACTGATGCTCCGACTCTCCAGGATTTGGATATTGCTAAGTAATTTAACTGTTGCAAACTATTTAGGTGGGCTTTCCAGGGTGTGGACTCTCCTGGATACCAACATATGGCTTCTCTTACTCAATTCAGGCCGAGTGAGACTCTTTTGCTGTAGTACTGCTAGTTCTGCTAAGTACACATAGCAGCAGCAACTACAATGGCCTACTGCCCCAGATCCTCAAGACAACTTGAACTATTTGGCTGAGGCTTGCCTTTATTTTGGAGTTTTGCTGTGGGCTGACCTATAGGCATTTAGAAGCAAATGGACTTATTAGCGTTACACAGTATGGTTTTGTGCAGGGGAGGTCATGTCTCACTAATGTGATTGAGTATGTTGAGGTGGTAATGAAGATGATTGATGAGGGAAAAGCAGTCGATGTTGTCTACATGGACTTCAGTAAAGCCTTTGACAAGGTCCCTGGCAAGATGGATATAGAATTGGCTTAGTCTTAGGAGACAGAGGGTAGCAGTGGAAGGATGCTTTTCAGAATGGAGGGCTGTGACTGGTGGTGTTTCACAGGGATCAGTGCTAGGACCTCTGCTGTTCATGATCTACATAAATGATTTGGAGGAAAATGTAGCTAGTATAATTAGTAAGTTTACGGATGATACAAAGATTTGTGGAGTTGCAGGTAATAAGGAGGATTGTCAAAGGATACAGCAGGATATAGATCAGTTGGAGGCATGGGCAGAAAAATGGCAGATGGTGTTTAATCTAGACAAATGTGAGATGATGCATTTTGGAAGGTCATGTACAGGTGGAAATTATAGAGTGAATGGTAGAACCCTTAGGAATATTGATGTGCAGAGGGATCACTGAAGGTGGCAGAGCAGGTAGGTAAGGTAGTAAAAAAGACTTACTGCATGCTTGCCTTCATTGGAAAGGGCATTGAGTATAAGGACAGACAAGTTATATTGCAGCTTCATAGAACTTTAGTAACGCCACACTTAGAATATTGCGTACTGTTCTGGTCACCACACTACCAGAAGAATGTGGATGCTTTGGAGAAGGTACAGAAAAGGTTTACCAGGATGTTGCCTGGTATGGTGGGTGGGTGGTGTTTTAGCTATGAAGAAAGGTTGGATTGACTAGGTTTATTTTCACTGGAATTCAGGAGGTTGAGGGGCAACCTAATGGAAGTTTATAAGATTCTAAATGGAAAGGATAGAGTGGAAAGTTTAAGGCTTTTTCCCAGGGTGGAAGGGTTAATTACTAGGGGACACAGGTTCAAGGTGTGAGGGGGAAAGTTTAAAAGAGATGTGCGACGCATGTTTTCCAGACAAAGGGTTTTGAGTGCCTGGAACATGTTGCCAGAGAAGGTGGTGGAAGCAGACACAATAGCAACGTTCAAGAAGCACCTGGATGAATACATGAACAAGAAGGGAATAGAGGGGTACGGATCCTGTAAGTGGCAGTTCCGGCAAGATGGCAGCAGGGTTAGTCACTCCATTTGGAGCTCCACTCTGTTTGCCAGTTCTCTTTCTCTTCCTTTCTTTATCCTTCTTTTTAACCCTCCCTTCTTCACTCTCCCTCTGCAGTAATTCTATCTCCCTCCACCCCTTCTAAGTACCTACCTAAGGAGCTGGGTTGTGACCAGGAACCACGTGGCACGAGCTGAACTCGTGGGTTGTGTCCTGCGGTGACAGCGTATCGAGCGTGGGCCAGAGTGAGATCGGCGGATCAAGAATGGGCTGGCGAGATCAGGCCAATGAGGCAGCTCAGAGTGGGACACTGGTGGCAGCATGGCGAGGGCCAGAAAGCCCAGAGTGGGACTGCAGCAGTGGAAATGAAAGTTGGAATCTCTTAAGTTATTTTTTTTCTTATCTTATTCTAAGTTAATGTGAATGGCATCATGTTTGTACGGTGAAGGTACACATTTTTCACTGTATTTTTACATTGAATACATGTGACAATAAATGATTCAATTCAATTCAAGATAGTTTTAGTCTGGAAGGACAAAATACGGCGGCTTGGAAGGCCGAAGAGCCTGTTCCTGTGCTGTATTGTTCTTTGTTCTTTAAGCTTCCAAAATACAACTGACCCCTGCCCAAAATCCAGTCAAAACCAGTTCACGCTTTGTTTTCTAATGTCAACATTCTGTGAGGTTGGCTAGTTAGCAGCAGTCCTCCATTGATTGTGCTGTCATTCTGTCCTACCACCTTCAGTGATTTAACACCAATACACTGAAGTCCCTCTGCTCCTTTTAGAATTGTACCTTTAGTTTAGAATGCCTCTGTCAGCTCTTCCAACAAAACAATTTACTTCAAATTCACTGTATCAAATTCCATCTGCCACCTTTCCACCCACTTCAAATAAAAACAGAAAGTGCTAGAGAAACTCAGCGAGGAGAGTTACTGTTTCAAGGCTAATATAACTCTTCTAAAGAAGAAAAGTAATCAGTACAGCCATAATCTCCCTGAACTGGGCTTTGTCTCCCTATTTGTCAAAGTCCTGTTCCTAAACACAGCATTCAGTGATATGAAGGTCAGTAATACAGGAGTGTGTGAGTGATTGAGGCAGACGAGTCTTGATCCTGATCTGGGTGTGGCATACCTGAGTTAATCTGATATTCCAGGAATTTGACTTTCTATTTAAACTATGCTGTACCTTCTCTGTGAGTATCTAATGAAAGAATGATGATATGAATAAATTATTCCTTCAAGTTCACATTTGAGTATTTTTGTTTTAAAATATGATGAGGGTTTCTGTATCAGTCACCCTTTCAGACACCTTCTGGGTGAAATAATTTCTCCTCGACTGTAAATCTTTGCTCTCTGGTTACTGACTTCTCTGTCCAGGAATATAAGATTTAAACAATCTCATCAACTGCCTCTACTACTTCCCTCCTTTCCACTAGCCCCACCTGAACAAACTTCCATGAATGCTGCCCTGACCAAGACGTGAACTCTTATCTTTCTCTGTCTCTCCTGTCTCCCCTCACACCCTCTCTGAGCTCTTCTTGTGCATAAGACCCACCTCCTGTTCCCTTGATCCTATTCTGACAAAACAGCTGATCACCCACTTCCCTTCCTTATCGCTATGTGGGTCGAGATTGTTCACGGTTCTGTACCTTCAGATATTGTCCATCTCTTTAAGTCTGTTAACACCCGTGTCCGCCTAACACCTTCATCCTTGCAAAAAACTGTCCTATCTCCAACCTCTCAGAATCTTGGAATGGGCCATTGCCTCCCAAATTCTGGAAACATATTTGGCAAATTAGGCCATTTGGCCAACTTGGACATGGGTCAGTTGAGGTATGAGGGGCAAAGCATGGAAGTGGAATGAGGTGTGTGGCATCAGGCAAGGTTAAAGTCCTGGCACAGAGCTGAGAACAAAGGGTTCATTCCCCAAGTTACTAATTCAGTAACACAAATAATCTTCGGATTGCAGAAGTTATAGACCGAGCACAGAGCTGCTCCCTTCTCCCCCTCGTTCTCCTCACTTTTGTCCCTCTCTCCTGTACAGGTGCTGATCCCAAAACTGCAGATCATTTCTGCCTTGAATGCTGTGGATCTTCCTCTTCTGATCTGCTGTCAAACACATCGAAAGATGCACATCCCACACTGATGTTATCAGTTTGAAAACCACCGTAGATACTGCTATTCCCACACTAGAAATCTCTACCAAACATTTAACCAGGGGAGCTGAGGCAGCAGCTGCAATAAGTGAGGTTTTATTCAGATGGGACAATGACAAGTTTAAATCTTCACCTGATCTGCTGCTCAAAGTCACCTCTATTTCACCGGTCAGTTTCCCAAGCTTCAGGAAACTCATGTTGCTGCAGAAATATTTAGATTGACTGAGAGATGTCAATTAGAGAGCCCAACCACTCTGCCCATTCTCCCCTCTTCCTCTTCCAGAGCTGGTTCACTTCCTATAGGGACTGAAAACCAAGTGAGGAGATGGTGAGTGAAGGAGCAGCTTTTAATTTTTAAAATTTAACCTATATTTTACTCATTAGCCTGTTTAGAGCTGTATTACACACCACTGGAGTAGGTGTGAGTCCAGGGGGTAGAGATATCACCATTACGTTAAGAGGGTCTCTCTGTAAGGCCGAGTTCTCTCTGGAATCCATCTTTTTTTCCAAACCACACGTAGTAAATTCGAAATTTTACTTTTCACAATGAAACAGGAAATAAAGATACCTTTGTAAATGATTTATTTGACCACCACCAGGAAAAAAAATCCGTACGACTAATTGAATATTTGCGAGCAAAGCCTGTTAAGGGCAACGCTAACATCAAAAAGTGGGGCGGGGGTAGGAATAAAGCAGAATGGTGTTGGAGGGGGAAATAAAACATTGCATCCCCGCGGACGGGCTTTTCCCAAAAGCTTGGGCTTGCATTTGACAGCAGCCGCAATTCTTTAGGTCTTTTTTTTGGATTTGATAGTTCTGCCCAGTGCTGTGGCAGAATTGGGAAATGTACCCTCAGCAGTGTATCGAATTTCCCAGGATTAAACTGAACCCTTCAGTCACCTTCACTGAAGCAGTAGTGGCTCAGTGGTTTGCAGTGCTGCCGCACAGCACAGGAGATCTGGATTCGATTCCAGCTACGGACAACTGTCTGTGTGGCGTTTGCACATTCTCACCGTGTCTGCACGGGTTTCCTCCCACAGTGCAAAGACGTGTAGGAATGGGAAATTGTCCATAGTATTGAGGGATAGGTGGTTTAGCCATGGGGAAGCAAAGCTGTTGGTATGGATTCTATGGGCTGAATGGCCTGCTTCTGCTCCGTAGCGATTGCATGACTTTCCTCAGCTTCAAGCAGGACCCGGGAGAGGGCGGTGCATATATTGTTGAGACCAAGTCTAATTGGTAGAGGCGCCTGTCGCTCTGGATAGTTATTGTCCCAGGTGGCCAATCCAACACGAAATCATCCTGATTGACAGACAACGCAGCCAATGGTGACCCCTTATTTTGTCTATGACCTGTTCCTCTCACCAAGTCAGAGGCTGCTGGATCCTGGGGTCAGAACAGAGTTCGGAGAGTTACACAGCAGGGAAACAGACCTTTCGGTTCAACCAGTCCATGCCAATCATAATCCCAAACTAAGCTAGTCCCAGCCCTCTGCTCCTGGCCCATATTCCTCCAAACCTTTCCTATTCATGTATCCATCCAAATTCTTTAAGACATTGTAATTGTCCCTGCATCCACCACTCCCTCAGGAAGTTCATTCCACATGCAATCCATCTTCTGTGTAAAAAAAGCCTCATGTCTTTTTTAAATCACTCTCCTCTCACATTAAAAATATGTCCCCTAGTCTTGAAATTCCCTATCTCAAGGAAAAGACAACTACCATCAATTCTATCTATACCTCTCATTATTTTATAGACTTCTTTCAGGTCACCTTTCAATCTCCTACACTCCAGTGAAAAAAGTGCCAGCCTATCCAGCCGTTCTTTATAACTCAAACCTTGCATACCGGCAACATCCTGGTAAATCTCTTCTGAACTCTCTCCAGCTTGATAATATCCTTCCTATAACAGGGTGGCCAAAATTGGACACAGTATTCCAGAAGAGGCCTCACCAATGTCCTGTACAACCTCAACATAACATTCCAACTCCTATTCTCAAAGGACTGAGCAATGAAGGCAAGCATGCTAAACACCTTTTTAACCAAACTTTAAAGATTTATGTACCTGCACCCCTAGGTTTCTCTGTTCTACAACATGACCAAGGCCCTGCTATTAATTGTATAAGCCCAAGCCTTGTTTGTTGTACCAAAATGCAATATCTTGCATTTATCCAGATTGAACTCCATTTGCCATTTTTCAGCCCATTGACCCATTTGACCAATATCGTTCTGTGATGTTAGAAACCTTCTTCACTGTCTACTGTGGCACCAATTTTGGTGTCATCCACAAACTTATTAACTATGCCTTCTGTATTCTCATCCAAGTAATTTGTTTGTTTATTTTAACCCGCAGCCTCCTTCAATCCTCACTTGGTGGAGTCTCTGTGCCTAAATCTTTTCCTTCATAACTACTCTTTAGTTCTTCAGGATGGCACAGGGCTGCATTCCTGTGTGAGTGAATAAGCAAGTGTATGTGAATGAAGTTTTGTGTACAAGTGTGCAATTGTGACAAATCTTGTGTGTATGCAAGACATAATCCTGAGACTGGAAGTGAACTGGATGCGTGCACGAGGCTCGTGTAAACACAAAAACCAAAAGGTTTTGCATTGCCTAGATATAACAAATTGATCCCCCTGTGACTATGGTTCCCGATTCTGGGCACTTCAACTACAATGTTAATGGGCTGGTGAGAGTGGAGGATATAAGGGACTCAGGAACAGGAGAAATATCAGACTCCCTGGTTCTGCTTCTTGCAGTTCCTTCTCAGTGTGTTTTCTTCAAATATTGTGGGAAACAAGGAGAGAAATTTCAAAATCTCCTCTGAATCTCCATTTCCCCATGTGCCATTTTATAAACACAACGTTCATGTGAAACTGATCTTCACCAGCTTGACCTGAGCTCACAGAGAATTGGTTGCCTCTATGACATCCTACCTGACTGTATTCTCCATCATTTTCATGGTAGTTGGGAAGGTAGGGAAGGAAAGATAGGTGGAGGAAAGAAAGTAGCCACGTTGTCTGCTCCTATTCACTAAACAGTGCTCTTGCTGGAAACAACATGTGTGTGATAGTCAAGTGAGGAAAAAGAAAGGACTTGCATCTAATCTCACCAAACAGACTGGCATCACTGTGGAACTCAGCTCCTTCAGCAAAGGAGGAGAGAGAGTTGGAGGAAATCATGTTTCCTTTTCCTGTTTTACAGAAGGATTGTGCTCTACAACATGAGAATACGGAGAGGATAGACACCGCAGATAGATCCTGATCATCACCCAAAGTACAACTGCACTACTGTGGGAAGACATCCAGTCTCTTCACAGCATTGCTCAACACAGAGAAAGTTGAGCACTGAAACCATTATCTGGAAATTGGTGGGTCAGGGGACTTTGACATATCAACAGTTCGGCTGTGGGTGATCGGTCAGGGTGAGGCTGGGAAGAAGTGTGAGAGGCACCAAGGTGGTGAGAGCTTTAGTTATTCATGAACTACTGACTCATTCCTTCATGGGAGAGGCTGTTCAAGTGTGAGGAGGGTTCCATGTATGATTCCCAAACACACAAGGTGCATCTGTTGTCCATCTTGTAACACGAGGGCAGCTTCATGGAAGAGGAGCCATTCAAATGTGAGGTGTGTGACCGAAGTTTCACAAACTCATCAACGCTTGTGAAACACCGGCGCATTCACTCTGGGGAGAAGCCGTTCAAGTGTGAGGTGTGCAAGAAATCCTTTTCACAGTCATCTAATCTCCATACGCACCAACGTGTTCACACTCGGGAGAAACCGTTCACCTGCGAAGTGTGTGACAAATCATTCCCACATTCATCAACCCTCCGCCTTCACCAACGCAGCCATACAGGAGAGAAACCATTCACATGCAAGGTTTGCAACAAATCATTCCTTAAGTCTTCAACCCTTCGTGAACACCAACGCATCCACACTGGGGAGAAACCATTCACATGTGAGGCATGTAACAAATCATTCTCACAGTCATCAGCCCTCAGCATACACAGACGCATTCATACTGGGGAGAAACCATTCATGTGTGATGTGTGTGACAAATCATTTTCAGATTCATCAACTCTGCATGTACACCAACGCGTTCACACTGGGGAGAAACCGTTCACGTGCGAAGTGTGCGACACATCATTTTCACAGTCATCGACCCTCCGCTCACATCGACGCACTCACACTGGGGAGAAACCATTCACATGCGAGGTGTGCAAGAAATCATTTCCCCTGCTGGTGTCCCTCCGCGCACATCAACGTGTGCACACGGGAGAGAAACCGTTCAAATGCTCTGAGTGTGACAAAGGCTTCACACGTTCCTCAGGCCTCCTGGTCCATCAGAGGACCCACACGGGGGACAAACCCTTCAAATGTGCAGTGTGTGATAAAGCTTTTGCGATATCTACAAGTTTGCTGCTCCACGGGAGGATCCACACGGGGGAGAAACCCTTCAGGTGTGAGGTTTGTCAAGTGGTTTTCAGCCAGCCCACTGATCTCATGCGGCATCAGAGGATTCATACAGGGGAGAAACCCTTCAAGTGTGAAATCTGTGACCAAAACTTCAGGCAATCTTCAGCACTAGTGCGACACCGACGCATTCACACAGGGGAGAAGCCTTTCACATGTGAGGTGTGCGATAAATCTTTCTCCAGGTCATCAGATCTCCTCCGACACAAGAGGATCCATACAATGGAGTAATCATTCTGGTGTAAGGTTTGTGCTAAAGGAATCATGATGTTTGTGAACCTCCTGGGACATTGGATTCTTATAGTGGAGAAGCTCTTTAGGTGTAATGTTTGGGTCAAGGATTTCACCCATTTGTTATGATTCCAGCTCATCCTAGAGTGAATCAGACTCTGCTTTAGTTCATGATGTGAGTTGTGGACAGATTCTGTTCAGTAATGGGTGTTTGTTGAATACTATGGAGAATATTTGTACTCTTTGTCTGGAAGAATGACTATCTTGAGTATGGGGAGAGAGTGGTTGTGAGTCTGTACAGATCTGAGTTTCCTTAATGTAATAACTGTGATATGTTCACTTTACACTCTTCCAAGATTCATTTCATGTTGTGGGAAAGATCTTGGATCATTTTCAAGTGCTTTGTTATTTTGTTTTGATTCGAAGTTTCATGTAAGCTGAATGTTGTGCTGTCTCTGTTTTAACAATCCTCTGTATAGATGTATAAATCTCAATAAATTCACTGTTTAGGTTAAACCAAGCTACCTGTCTTGTCAGCATGGTGTGGTCCCATTCACTGGAAGACTCAGGATACCACAGTAAGAGTCAAGCAAAATTCACTGTGGAATAGTCTACTTTCTCCACCTGTTTCAGTTCCTTTTTCACATCTTGTGATATATGAGGCAGGCAGAGCACATACTGTTGTAGACAAACAGGAGGCTGGAATTCCAGCATCTTCAGTTCTTTTGTCTGTAACCAAGAGCACATACTGATGTCTGTTTCCATGGCTGAGATTCCTGGGACAGGTTACCAGTCTGTCACCAGGGGATACAGCTTGAGGTCACTACTCTGCATGAAACATTGCTGACCATGAGATTCTCCCAGTCTTATCACATACAATCAAATATCAGGAGAATTTAGAAGTTGATAATCAACTTGTTTGACCACTTTAACAGACATTGCCATCAATTCCTGCAGTGAGACTCAAACCCAGAAATTCTGACTTTGAGGCAGGCATACTATCTACAGTGACATTTCACCTCCTGGTTACATAATTTCACTGGAAGCATAACGTTTCCCTAAAAAAAGATTTGCAGCTATATAGCATCTTCAACAATACTTTTTGATGTGTGGTCACTGTTGTAGGAACAGGTCTACCCATGTGTGCATAGCAAGATTCAACATGCTGCAATGTGGTAATGACCAGATGAGACTGTTTTGTATGGTGAATAATGTGATCTATACTCACTCCTGGAGAACATATCAGAGGCAGTTTCTGTTTCCCCAATTTCCAAACTCCAATGGAGAGCGTTGTCTATTTGAGGGAAAAAAAGGTCTGAAGGTCCCAGGTTTAGTGTCTGGAGAGGTCAGGTATCGTTTTGCCCGAAGTCATCTGAAATCCTGCTTCCTGTGTCCGAATACGCAGCAAATCCCATTCCCCAATGCCCGCAACATTCATTAGTCCATGGTACCAGTCAACGTCAATGTGGATTTGAAATGCTGCACCTTGTTTTCCACCCTTCCCCTGCCACCCCCCACTCCCCTCTCTGTCTCCCTCCCTCCTGGTCTGGGGCCCTCCTACCCCAAGAATCTCGGGGACACAATAAATGCTGGCATACTCACTGACACCCACAACCCATGGAATAACTTCTTAAAAATTCGAGATTTGATGAGGAAACTGGGTGTTTCTGCAGTTAGAATCCAGATGATATATTACCCTTCTGTTGTCAGTGGCAAGAATACTCCTAAAATAAAACAAAGAAGTGCAGCTGCTGGAGATCTGAAACAAAACAGAAATTGCTGGAAAAACTCGGCAGGTCTAGCAACATCTGTGGAGAGTAGGCAGATTTAACGTTTTGGGTTCAGTAACCTTTAGAATTATGAAGATAGGTTTGAATGGGTGAGATGGGCAGAGAAATTGAGGCAATCAGTATCATGACAATAGTTCTCCAAAAAACAGGTCGAGAGCAGGCAAGACGCCAGAGGGAGGGGGACAGGTGGAGATTGAGTGTTGGAGGCAGGTGAAGGGATTTGTGGGAAGGAGAGAGGCCTTTTGCCCAAAGAAATGGGCACAGAGGGGAAGGCAGGGGAAGAAGAGTTCAGTCATGTTGTGCCCGAAATTCATTGAGGTGGGGGCGCCGAGGGTTGAAACTGAGACCTTTGCTGAGTACAAAATGTACAGCATCAGAGTGTGGAAAGTCAGAAGAGATTGTAAATACATGTCAGGAGGTAGATTTTTAGAGAGGGGATGGACTCAGAGAAAAGGGGACGGGAAGAACATTCCAGCGGGGCATTGGTATTTCTAAATTGTTACATCATGTGTTCCTTAATACCTGAAATGAAAAAGAAGTTTCTTGTTAAAACATCGAATGAGCTGGAGGATGAAGTGGAATTGGGGGCAGGGCAGTTCTGAGCCAGCATGAGGCATTGCTGATGGAGAGAGAGGTCGAGGGTATGCATACACGGCACTGAGTGTGAATTTCAGAATGTGGCGAGAGCAGTTGTTGGCGCAGTGTTGGTAGATCATGGAGACCCCTGTGATCCTGGGTGGGTTCTAAAGAATGAAACTTCACTTGGAATCTGTGTTGAAGTGAGTATGAGCCGGAAGCAGTCACTAAGGAATGTGATGCGGCTGTGGAAGCGAATTTTAGCAAAGACCTGGTCCAGTACCAGGAGCCAAACGAAAGTAATGACAATCAACAAGAAAAAAAATCCCACAAAACTGTCGCAAAGAGCAGAATCTTTTTAAGATGGGCATACCTGGAAGTGAGTTAAACACTTTTAAAAAAAGAACTGTGGAAGCTGGAAATCAGAAACAGTATCAGAAATTGCCGGAAAAGCTCAGCAGTTCTGACAGCAGAATTAATATTTCAGAACCAGAAAGAGGAAACCCGCACTCTGGCTCTGACGTCACAGGCAGGAACGTTCCTTGTGGGCGGTATCGGAATCTCCAGATCCTAATCGCGGTTGTGACGCAGGGCCTCTAGCAATCCAATTAGGAAGGGTGTGACGAGGCTGCAGTGCCGTTTGCCGCCGGGAGCGGCAACCATTTTACAGGGGCGCACCTCCAATTATAGCATCGCCCATGTGTCAGCCGCTCGAGCTCGCGCGCTCTCAGATTTGAACTCCCAAATGTTGGGCGTCAACCGACGGGCATCGCGGGCCGGCTTTCTCATGATTCATACTACTACCTCTCCCTACGCAGGCGCGGGGCCCACAAGCAGCATGGGTAATGTAGTTCGGAGCGGGATTTGGGGTGAATTGAGCTGAGTCCCTGTGGAGGTTTTAAACAACCTCAGTGAAGGGGGAGCTTTCTGGGCTTGGGGCTGCAATTCACATAATGGTTGGGGAGATGGGCTGTCCTTCACTCCATCATGTAACTGGACTACATGCTTCACATTTTATCCCCATACTCACTTGTCAATTCAAGCCAAGATAAAAATTACTAATGGAGCTGAACATTGTGTATCCATTGGTGAACATTCTCACTTCTGACCTTGTGATGGACGAAGGTCATTGATTAAGCAACTGAAAATGTTTGGGCCTCAGACAGCACCCAGAGCTGAGGTGATTGACCTCCAACAGCCTCAACCATTTTCCTCCGTGCCAAGTATGAGTCAAGCAAGCAGGACCAGGTCAAGGACCAGGTCTTTGCTAAAATTCGCTTCCACAGCCGCATCACATTCCTTAGTGACTGCTTCCAGCTCATACTCACCTCACACGGATTCCAAGTGAAGTTTCATTCTTTATGCTTAGAATCCACCCAGGATCACAGGGATCTCCATGATCTACCAACACTGCGCCAACAAATGCTCTCGCCATATTCTGAAATTCACACTCAGTGCCATGTATGCATACCCTCGACCTCTCTCTCCATCAGCAATGCCTCATGCTGGCTCAGAACTGCCCTGCCCCCAATTCCACTTCATCCTCCAGCTCATTCGATGTTTTAACAAGAAACTTCTTTTTCATTTCAGGCATTAAGGATTGTCCACTTGATTCCCACTGATTCTAGTTTTGCTCGGGCTCCTTGATATCACACTTTGTCAAATGCATCCTTGATGTCAAGGGCAATAATTCTCAACTCACCCTTGGAATTCAGCTCTTTTGTCAATGTTTGAACCAAACTGCAAGCCTGTATCCAACTGGATTAGGACACAAATAGATTGCTAGTCAGGCCTGCACATAATGCAGAGGAACTACTATATTTATTGTTCCCACAATTCATTCTCAGTTAGGATAACATGAGAATAGTATCTGGAAGCTTTGCCTTATTTGAAGCTAGAAAAAGGAATCCATAGTGGTTCTCAGAGAACCTTGTGGCAGAACACAGTCAGCAGAGTTAGCTTGGAAGTTGTGAGAAGGCAACCTGAAGAAATGAATGAACTTTGAAAATTCTTGTAATATGTAGGGAACTGTTAGTAAGAAATAGAACTGAGTTCATAAGTAATTTTAAATTATGGTATGAATAGTACTTGCTCCGCTTGTTTTTTCATATACAATAATGTTTGTCTTTTTTCAATAACGTGAAATGTTATGATGTCAAACTATTGATTAAACATGGAGTTTTGGGATTTCTTTTTAAGTATTCATACCCCCAATAGGATTAGAACCCCGTGGGAAATTGTTGCTATTATTCTTACATTGTAACAGTTATTATGCTTTGAAAAGCTTGTCATTGACTGTAGATGACTTCAGATTGCCTGTATTTGTGTAGGGTAACAGACAAATGCAGAGTATTTTTAAGAGAAACATTATACTTCATATAAACTCAAAATCATAAAGGCCAATAAAGAAAGAACATTAGCACACAGCGACATTGACCAATATACTCTGTTTTGGCCACCTGAGTGGTTCAATGAATAGCAACAAATAATGGTGTCAAATCAATTTGTTTGGATAAAACAAAAATCAAATTTATTGTGAATTATAAATCTATACAGGATATTGATAAATTAGCAGACAGAAAAATAAAATTAGCTTCCCAATCATTGAATGAACCAAAACAACAAAAACACTTTTAAATAACTGAAGGTCTTCCCAGATGAATCTCAGCAGAGTGTAAGGTGAACATATCACACTGTTATTACATCGAGGTATGATGGGCTAAAGGAACTCAAGTCTGAGGTTGTAGACATGCTCACCGAGCCGGTAGGTTGAGCTGCAAACGTTTAATCACCCTGGTAGGTAACCGTTAGCAAACATCCCCACTTCTGACCTTGTGATGGATGAAGGTTATTGATTGAGCAGCGGAAAATGTTTGGGCCTCAGACAGGTCCGAGAGCTGAGGTGATTGACCTCCAACAGCCTCAACCAACCTCCGGTGAAGCGTCGCTGTTCTGTCCCGCTTGTTATTTATATTGCCTCGGTTTGCTGGGGTGATCGGTATTATTTCCGGTTTTGTTTCTCAGTGGTTTGTACACAGGGTCTAATTCAATGTGTTTGTTGATGGAATTCCGGTTGGATTACCAGGCCTCCAAGAATTCCCTGGTATGTCTCTGTTTGGCTCGTGCGATTATCGATATGTTGTCCCAATCGAATTCATGTCCCTCGTTGTCTGTGTGTAGTGAGACAAGTGAGAATTGGTCATGTCTCTTGGTGGCTAGTTCATATTCATATATCTGTATAGTCAATTTTCTTCCCGTTTGGCCTACGTAGTGTTTTTATTCCAACCGGAACTCCATCAACAAACACATCGAATCAGACCCTGTGTACAAACCTCTGAGAAACAAAACCGAAAATAATACCGATCACCCCAGCAAACCGAGGCATATAAATGACAAGCGGGACAGAACACCGACGCTTCACCGGAGGCGCAATGACGATGTTATCTAGCAGGGCGATGAAACATTGGCAACCAAACCCACCGGTTGGGTGAGCATGTCTACAGCCTCATCCACAAACTGAGCTGCAAATCTTCTTGAAAGCTTTAAGAACTCGGGTCTGCAGAGATTCGCACCCACTCCCTCATCATACTCAGGATAGTAGCCCTCCCAGACAAACATTCCTCATTGTATTAGTCAAACACTTATCACCTGAAGAGGATTAATCTATAATTCACATCACCAAATAAAGCAGGATCTGATTCTGCCCCATACTTATTACTGAGAGCTGGCTCACTTTACAAGCACAGGGGCCACAGCATTAAAATTGAAGCTGGGCTGGTCAGGGGTGGGTTTTGGATGCGTGTCAGGAAGGCAAGTACTGCAGAACACTGAAAATATCTCACTGCAACCAATATTGAGCCCTGAATCCTGACGAAAGTGATAGTTGTTCTGTGGAGACCAGGCATCACAGCTGGATCAGGTTTACATAAGGATATGCACAAAACTGGAACAGCAATAGTGATTGAGGCTCATTAGTTACGAGAACAGACAGACTTTAGTGTGGCCATAGATGTGAATCTGGGACAGTATGTCACTTTGCTAATACCAGGATCATGGATGTCACTGAATAGTCGCAAGTATCAGGAGAGGCATGCTTCAGAGATCATTGTATCAGAAGGTTTAGGTGTGATGATGGAGAAGTACAAGTAACAATTCCGAGTAAGTAACTGGAGGAACACCTACTGCAATGACATAAGAACAATATGACCAGAAAAGTTGGAATCAAAGATTGTCAGGAGAAATGGTAAATGAATAACAAGTTGCCTTTAAAGATAAGATTATTTGGGCTGGAGTGAGAATTGTGGAGGCACTGGCCATAATATTCCAGTCTTCCTGAGAATTGGCAGTAGTGCAGGAGAACGGGAGAATTGCAAATATTACACCATCAATCAAATAAGGACGAAAAGGTAAATGCAGCAAATACCAGTCAGGTCAGTCAGTTTAATTAGTGATTGGAAAGCTTCTGGAAATAATAATTGAGGACAAAATTCAGTCACAGAATCATACAGCAGGGAAACAGACCCTTTGGTTCAACTCATCCATGCTGACCAAGTTTCTCAAACTAAACTAGTCCCACTTGCCTGTATTTTGCCCATATCCCTCTAGACTTTTCCTTTTTGTGTACCTGTCCAAATGTGTTTTAAATAACTTGGACAATTGTGCATTATTAAATGAAATGAGTCAGATTAGTGAGAGCAATGAGAGTTTAATTTAATTCTGTAAGTCTTTTGTCGAGGTAACAGAGAGGCTTGATGAAGGGAACACCGTGGAGATGGTGTACAAGGACTTCCAAAAGGCAGATAACAGATGTGCGAAAAAAGTTAGAACTCATGGAATCAAAGCAAAAATTGTTTCATTGATAGAGAGAAACAGTGAGAAGTTGTTAATAGATATTTTTCAGTTGACAATCGAGGAGTGTAGTTGTCCAGGCATCAGTGTTAGAACACAGATCTTTGGTGTACAGACCAACAATGTTTGCACAGTACATAAGTTGTGAACTGTGAAGAGGTTCATGTAAAATGTCAAAAGGAGTCAAGTTTGTAGATTAGGTGGAGAGGTTGGAGAAGAAATATAATGCAGAGAAGTGTGCAGTGATTTATTTTGATAGGAAGAATGCAGAAAGATAATATAAAATAAAGGTTCTAAAAGGGTGCAAGATCAGAGGGACCTTGGCACAAAATCACTGAAGCTGGCAGGACAGGATGGCAGAGCAATTAATTTATTGTTATTGTTATGAGCGCAGAAAACCAAAGATAGTATCCAAAGCACAGGCTTGGCCTCAGCTACAGCGCTGCTTCTTGTTCTCGGCACCATTCTTCAGGAAAGATGAAGATATTAAAGAAGGTGCAGTAAAGATTCATCAGAATGGTTCCAGGAATGAGGAACTTCAGTTACAGAGCTAAATTGGTGAAGAGAGGACTGTTCTCGTTGGGGAAGAGAAGGCTAAGAGGACATTTGCGGGGTCTGCACAGAGCAGGCATTGAGGAAATGGTCCCACTTGTGAAAGGATTGAGAATGAGGGGACATAAATTTAAGGTTGCTGGCAAATGAGACAATGCTGACATGAGCAAAACTATTTCATGTAGTGAATGGTTAGGATCTAGATTATCCTGTCTGAGAGTCTAGTGGAGGCAGTTTCAATAGAGGCATTGTTCTATAAATGCAAGCTGTTGTCCTCTCACATTCTCGCCAGTCCCCAAGGTACTGACCTGGAGGACAGACTGTGTATATCAACTGACCTCTAGTGCTCTGTTCGAGTGCCCATTCAGTATGTGGACAGCCAGACATTGAATGTTGTGAGACAATGGAGGCTGTCACAGCCGAGACACATCCTGCCCTCCCCCTGACTTCCCAACTGGGCTCACTGATGAGAAACAGGATTCCTGGCTGTTGTCCCCCTCCATAGACCAGAGACACTGAGGCTAATTGAAATACCTCTATTACTACCCTAGGAATGGCTTCTCTCCCGAGTGCTTGTCCAGGTCGATCAGAAGCTGAAGCCTTTCTGATGACTGAGTATCTGATTGTCGTCTTGTTCAGAGTGAGAGTCAGTGTGTGACTAGTACCTGACGCTGCACTGAAAGGAAATTGAGTTTATACAGGAGCTTCTATATATATAGATGCCACCTTCTGGTGATGTTTGGCAATCTGGTCAAAGGTTAAATTGACCTTCTTGAAAAGATTCAACTGATGGTGGGAAAGGTTTGAGACAGATAGTGCTTTCGAATGACAGCTCCTCCTGTGTGAGCACTGCAGGGCAAACAGCACAGGCAGCTCTCAGTGCAACAGAAGCAGGTAACCTGACCTTGAGTCCATGTGAAGAGTGGAAGAGGAGCTGAAACAATCCTGGCACACATTGCACGGATGTGTGTCCTGTATATGTGTGTGTTGAAGAACCTATTGATACAGTGACTGTGTGAAGGCTTGTCACACACCTCCTACATGAATGGATTCTTTTCAGAGCGGATCTGCTTCAGCAGATTGGAAAAGTGGGTTAAGTTAAAGCTTTGTCACAGATGTTATACCTGAATGGTTATTCTCCTTTGTGAATCCTCTGATGGAGGAGGAGGGTTGATGATCTTGAGAAAGATTTGTGGCACACTTTACATGGAAATGGTTTCTCCCCCGTGTGAATGCGTTGATGTTCTACAAGCGTTGATGACTGTGTGAAGGCTCGGTTACATACCTCACACTTAAAGGGTTTTTCTCCTGTGTGAATCCTCTGGTGCAGAAGGAGGGATGATGACCTTGAGAAGGATTTGTCACACACTTTGCACGGAAATGGTTTCTCCCCCGTATGAATGCGTCGGTGTTCCACAAGCGTTGATGACTGTGTGAAGGCTCGGTCACACACCTCACACTTGAAGGGTTTCTCTCCTGTGTGAATGCGTTGGTGGGCACGCAGGATTGATAACTGAGTGAAGGCACGGTCACACACGTCACATTTGAATGGTTTTTCTCCTGTGTGAATCCTCTGGTGCCTCAGGAGATCAGAGAATTGGATGAAAGCAATTTGACAAACCTCACATCGGAAGGGTTTCTCTCCAGTGTGAATCATTTGGTGTATCAGGAGGCTCGAAGATGTCACAAAAGCTTTATCACAAACCTCACACTTGAAGGGTTTCTCCCCTGTGTGGATCTTCTGATGGACTAGGAGGCCTCCTAATTGTGAAAAGGATTTATCGCACACCTCACATTTGACTGGTTTCTCTCCTGTGTGAATGCGTTGGTGTGCATGGAGGGTTGATGACTGTGCAAATGATTTATCACACACCTTGCAAGTGAATGGTTTCTCCCCAGTGTGAACACGTTGGTGAACACGGACGGACGATGACCTCGAGAATGATTTGTTGCACACCTTGCACTTGAATGGTTTCTCCCCTGTGTGAGTGCGTTGGTGATCACGGAGGGTCCACGAATGAGAGAATGATTTGTTGCACACCACACATGTGAATGGTTTTACCCCTGTGTGAATGCTACGATGTAGGCGGAGAGTTGATATCTCGGAAAATGATTTATCACACACCTCGCATGTGAATGGTTTCTCTCCAGTGTGAACACGTTGATGTGCGTGAAGAATTGATGAGTGCGTAAATGATTTGTCACACATCTTGCATGTGAACAGTTTCTCCCTCATGTCAACATGTTGGTGTCTGATAAGGGATGACGACCTCAAGAACGGTTTGTTGTACACCTTGCAGTTGAATGGTTTGTCCACTGTGTGAGGGTGTTGATGTATGTGGAGGTTCCATGATGTTGAGAATGACTTTTCACGTCTGAACAGATGTCTGTGAATGTGTTAGTCATTCAAGAGCGTCGCTGACTCTGTGCAAACCTGGTTTGGCACGTCACATTTAAGGCGTTCCATGTCACTGTCCAATTGTTCCTTGGGTGAAGGTCAGGATCTATTTTTGTTGCTTATCCTCTCTGTATTCTCTGTAGTCCAGTGCAATCCTTCTGTAAAACAGGAAAAAGAAACATGATTTCCTCCACCTCCTTTTCTATACCTGTTAAAGGACTGACTCCTAGTTAGACACTGTTCCACGTTCACTGCCAGGTTGCTGCTCCCCTTTGTGGGAAGGTCAGATGCAAGTCCTTTCTTTTTGCTCACTGTCTGTTTCCAAGAGCAGACAATGTGGCTACTTTCTTTCCTCTGCCCAGACTGCATCATCTTAGGTGCATAATGACAATGGAAAAGACTGTCTGACTAAGTGTAAGACAGGCTGTCAGTTAACTGTGAGCTCATGGCAAGCTGGTGAAGACCAGATTTATCTATCGAGTATTTGTTGAATAAAAGAAAAGCACTCAAAAGAAATATTATTTCAACTGAGATTTTAAAATTTCTCCCCTTATTTTCCAAAATTATGTGAAGAAATCGTATTGGACAGGGATTCAAGAAGCCACGTGAAATATTGCTCAGTGAAGCTGCTTGAAGTGTTTGGGTTTGTCCTGAGAAATTAAACACACTGCATTCACTCAGATATACCAAATTCAGCTCTCAGCCACAGCATTCAAATCAAATCAAGCTTTTAGGGAAAGGCTGAGGTTTCAGGTAAAATCCTAAAGAAGGCATAGAAAGAAATTTCAATAAGTATGTCTCCAGGTACAGCAAATGAGTTGCTATGAAAATTACAGCAATGGAGAGGTGCAACGTCATTGTTAGGGTTACCTATGACTGAGCTGCACAAAATGGCCAATGCTGCCCTTGGCTAATGCAGCAGAACACTGCTGACAATAGTTAAGAAAATATTTGCTTAATGTAGTCTTCACAAGTAGAACAATAGTAGCTCTGTAGACTCAAGGTCAGCTGCAGTTGTTTACACGTAAGATAGAGATAAGAACATTTCACACTAATCTCCCTTGAATTATTTAATCAATCCATTCACAACTTGTTAGCTAAAGAATTCTAACATTAGCTGTATCTGCATAACTTTGTTGGAACTGATATTATAACAATTAGCAAAAATCAAAATTCTTTTGTATTTCCTGCAATGAGGTAAATAAGGAGTTTAAAAGGACCTTAGTGATAGGCAAGTATCCAATTAATTGGCAGTTAACATGATTTAGCTGGCAAATGCTTGGGAAGGAATTGACTTGAACATGGTGTAGACATTAAAATTGCTGACTGCAGCAGAACTTCCTTCGGGTTAAGGCCAGTTACAAAGCGCTGCTGACCAGATTTAGGACTGAATTGAGGAGGAACTTCTTCACTGATGGGGTTGTGTATCTGTGGAATTTCCTGTCCAGTGAAGTCGTTGAGGGTTCCTCATTGAATGTTTTTAAAGCTAAGGTAGGTACTTCTTTGACTAGTAAAGGTATTAAGGGTTATGCTGGGAGGGTGGGTGAATGGACCTGGGGCCATTAAAAGATCAGCCATGATCTTATTGAATGGCAGAACAGGCTCGAAGGGCCAGATGGCCTACTCCTGCTCCTGGTTCTTCTGTAAACAAGGGCGGGCGGAAGGGGGAATGTGCACTTTAAGCTTAAACTGTATAAAATAAGCTGTTTAGAAACATTTTGTGTGACCTTTTGCTATGCCGTGACTGATGTGTAAATCGTGGTAATAAGGGTTGCCTGAACTTACCACCGGACTCAGACTCTCATTGAAAACTACGAGATCTCTAACAGTCACGGAGGAGTTCAAACAAAGAAGAGAATTCTAAAGCCAAGGTGCTGCTTGACCCGGAGCCAATGTAGATCAGCAAGCACAGGGGCAGGGGTATGGGTCTTGGTGTCGGTTAGAGCAGCAGAGTTTGGAGGAGCTCAGGTGCACAGCAGCCGGGACAGCATTGGA